ATACAGACATCGGGCAAACCAGGTCCAAATCAGGTGCTGCCTCTTCTGTGCATGTACAGGGCTTGGCGCGGGAATGCGCCGAGTTTAAAGTAAAGCATCGTTTTGTTTATTTATTTATTTTTAACATCAGTAAGCAGCTGGTGTTAGTTTATTTTGGAGTCCTGGCTCCATACCAATTATTTTTGACCATGTCAGCATAGTAAACCTCCCAGGTTTTTTTCCCTTACTCATAGAGACTCTAGGATGAGATGAGTCAGAATGGATATACCTGAGAGGCAAAATGTATTTTAGTACTTACATGGCTTCATTACTGTAGTTTCTGAACACATCCCAATATTTTAATGCATTTATCTCCTCAGCACACCTGGGAGATGGGAAAGAGATAATATCACATTTTATCAATGGAATCAGAGAGAAAAAGCTTACGGATTTCCGAAGAGCTCTCCAAAAGTGAATGTAGTATCTCTGCAGGGTAGACACCTAGCTACCATTGAAATCAACAGGAGTTAAGCATCTGACGAGTACAGACACTTTTGTCAATCTTATTAGATGCCTGGACTAGGTAAATTGACCCCTACTTGCTAGTGGTCATACAGGAAATTTGCAGCACACTGAGGACCTGAATCCAGGTCTCCTAGAATCTTTCTGGATTTCTGCTATGTGAACCAAGTAGTTATTTATTATTGTGTCCACTTTGTATCCCTTCCACATTACAGTTACTTCAGAGGCCTCTTTTTCATTGGTCTATATTTTTGCATAAAATGGTGCAGTTTGTCCATGTCTGAATCTAATACAAATATTAGAAGACTGTTGTATGTTTCCCCTGTGCATGCATGTAGTTCCTATTACATCTACCAAATTGAATCTATTTTATACTCCAGTCCCTCTTCAGTGCGCGTTCCCTGTAAAAGTGATAACAGCCACAGGGGTCATCCTAGACTTCATGGCTAGGGACAGAGATTACACACAAACTGGTTTATGTGATCAGAAACTGGTTTAAACCAGTAACAGAACAGATGTTCAGTGCACATAAACCAGTTTAAAAATGGCTGAAATCAGTTTGAGATAAACTGGTTGAATGTAGTATCAGACTTAACTGATTTGGGTCAAACCAGTTTATGCAATGTCTGTCCCAGACCTCTTGCTGGTTTAAGATAAAGTAGGCATCCCCCCCAGCATGCTCTCTGAGCTGGGTGGGGCTCTCTGCTCTGCTCCCTGGCTGCAGCTCCAGCACAGATTGTGGGCTGCTTCCCTCCTCCCCCTCACCAATCCCTGTGTACCCGCCTACGCTCTAAGAGGTGTTCCCGTGCTGCCTTCGCCCGGGCCCAAGATCTTGTGAGTCCGGAGCCTACGGGTGGACCCCAGTGGTTGCCCCTGCTGATGTCAGGAGGACCCCTGAACTCGTCTGCCACGACTTTGAATGTTACTTGAGTGGGGGGTCCTCCCTTAGGGTCGCCACTAGGGTCGGCGCGTTTCTCGGCGGGTAGTCTTGGGGCTCCGCCCCCCCCTCCCCCCCAGCCACTCGCCACCTTAGGCCCTACCTCCTCTGTCTTCCACGTTGTCCTTGGCCTGCCACCCTTTCGCCCCCGATTTGCCAGCCATCAATAACGATCTTCAAGCCAGGCGTCCAGCTCACTGGGAGGTTTCTCTGCGGGCTCTCTTATCTATAATGCGATCGGTAGTTCTCCAATGCTGCCGCACCCAATGCGGCCGGATTCCACACCGCTCCTGCTGCTGGGGAGGCAACTGGTATCCTCGCCCACTCTGCTGCCTGTCAGCTCGATCAGTCCCTCCTCTGGCTCTGCAGTAGCCAGTTTCCTCCCTGGCTCTGCCTGCTGCCCAGTCAGCTCCCCCTTCAGCTCTGTCTCCAGTGCAGCGGCTGATTGCCTCACCGGTTCTGCCAATACCTGCTACGCTGGCTCCTCCACCAGCGTTGCTGCCGGCATTTCAGCCGGTTACCTCATCGGCTCTGTTGGTAGCCGATGCACTGGCTCCTCCACCAGCGCTGCTGCCGGCGCTGCAGCCAGTTACCTTACCGACTCTGCTGGCAGCCGACACGCTGGCTCTTTCACCGGTGCTGCTGCCGGTTACTCCACTCCCTCTCTTGGAGCTGGCTCTGCCTCTTCCTCTCTCTGCCGCCGTGTGTGGCGGCTGCTCCTCACCTCGCTCTCGCTCACTCCTCCGGTCTCCTTCTCTCCACCGCCCTGCTGCCTCGGTGGGGCCGCTTTTTGTTTCCTCCGGGAGGCGTCCTCCGCCCCCGCTGCTCTGCTGCAGCCGGATAAACGCCCGGCTGATCACCTGCGCTGGTGTCCTCTGTGTACCCGCCTCCCCCGGCCCTTCCGGACCTGCAGGAGGTGAGTAGGACTCCTTGCTGCCCCGGGGTTCCTTTGGCGTCCCAGCTCCCCTGGGACACCCTGCTAAGCAGGAATTCTCCCCTCCCCTCTGCCTTGTGGAGAAGTGTCTGTGTATTAGCTAGCAGATCACATGCTGGCTATGGTCTGTGCTAAGTCAACAGGTAGAATCAACAGGCAGAATCAGCAGGTAGCTGGTAATGTTCCTCTGTTGTTTTCTTAATGGGGTGATAAACACTGTTATCAATTCCCTGCTGGGCTAATCAGAACATCCTGATGGGGCCTGGCCACCCCCTCCCCTAGCTCAGTGCTGTGGAAAGGACAGGAGAGCTGCTCTAGTGCCCCCTGGCTTCTAGCCTGAGCCATTGCAGGCATGTCCCTGCATATGTTGGATGTTTGTGCAGTTACAAACCAGTTCAGCCTAGCCAGGTCAGACTAACCTGTAAAGATTGAATCAATTCAGGCTCAAGCTTTTTGAATGTCTGTCCCTAGCCCATGAAATAGGTAATTTCTTCCTCTTGGGGATAAAACTCTGCTTAGTTTAGGGTTTTTGTCTTTCTGAATATACATATCATTATTTAAATTTATTGTTGTTGGGAGTTCTTCTGTTATAGCTAATTTGCTGAGGAATTTGGTTTGGTCAGTATGGTGGTAGTTCTTCAGGCTCTTTTGGCTAGACACTAGAGCAATGGGTCAATGGTGTGAGTGGCATATCCATGGTGGAGAGGTATAGCTGAAATTGTTTGTGCATCTCTAGGAAAATATACTTCCAAGTCTTCAAAAACTTGACTGAATAATGCAGTAGCCTATTTTAAAGCTTTATTATGATTAATTTTCTTCTCTCTGTCTCTGTCAATTTTTAATCTACCTGAAGTGATGTGAAATAATGTGAGAATTTTATATTACATATATGCATTAGAATTTTCTTTTTTAAAATCAAAGCTGTTTTAACAATTGCTGAACTCAGAAATCTTCTAAAAATGTTTTAGCTTCACATGGAAAAGAATTTGGTTTCATTATAATACCTTTCATACTTTGAATAATACCCCAAAACAGTTCACAAAACAGACTTATCCTTTCCATCATGGTCATTACCCTCTGCAGTGCAGTGGCCAAATACAATAGCTATTATGTACTCAGCAGTAGCTCTCATATCCATAAATACACACACTTCTTCTACAGAGAAAGAAAATATTGGTTAAGAGACAAAGGATGGCCTCTACTCTCTTTGGAAAACTGCCATGTGGATGTTTAACTGCATCATAGATAGCCATTAGAATATTGAAGAAAAGACCTCCGATTAATCTCTCACGTAAAGAGCAGCATCTCAGTGCAGTATCCCCTTACTAATTTACTATTCCATTAGTACATATACCAAGCCAGAGCTTGGATGTGATTCAATTACCAGCTTAAAAGAGGTGATCTAGTTAGTAAACACAATTGTGTTTCATGGATAAGAAACAACCTTTATGAAACTAATTGAAAAGAAATTAAGAAGTTTAACTAAGTCACATTTTCTTTGAAAGCGGTTAAGAATCTGAATTGATTTGCTGCTCATTTTAAATTGATTAAGATATTTATTCCTAACACAGAAAATGATTTGTGGCATAGGCAAGCCATGAAAAGTTATTTGACCAGTAGCCCTAAATTCTAAAAGGAACAAAATTTCAAGACAGAAAAGCAGCTTTGAGGAGATTCTTACTATCGTTAAACCCACATTAGCACTGTTTTTCTAGTAATGTTCAATGTTTCATTTATCATCTCTTTTAAGTGATTCTTTGTTAGTTTGAGAAATAGAATGGTGTACCAAATACATTTTACATTAAGACTTAAAATGTTCCCTTATAAAATGACAGCATAGTGAAGAGACATTAAAGGAAGTTACCAATCAAAGCGCAGAATTTCACATTCTATACTCAACATTGCCAGTGGTCCATTGCACAAGCTTTGGCAATGATTCTCAACCTCATTAGGTACCCCTCAGAAAATACCAGCCCTTAGATTTCACAAGTTTTTTACTATGGAAAAATGATAGATTATTTCTTCTGTCGCAAAGAACTCAAAGTCCACAACAGGTCAGAATGTTTTTGACACTATGGATTCTTATTTGAAATCTGTGGGCTTCTTTTGTGAATCATATGTAGGTATTTGCACGCGTACCTAACAGTGCTAATATTGAGTGGCACCCCTCAACACTCTCAAAAGGATCTTATGGCACTCTGGTTGAGAATCACTAGTCTAAAGATTGTATATACCAGTAAGTCAGGAATTGAAGTTATAGTAGTGGTAGTTTTAGTCAATTGGTATAATTTATTTATTTATGTGTTTATATATTTATCTATTTTGATTTTGATTTACATGACATCCTTTCCAACAAACAGTATCTGACTCTAAAAGTATGTAGTACATGTGATTGTATCAGTTTAGAGCTCAATCCTGTAAATGGCTTCATGTACACAGGCCTTAATTAAAGTCTTACTTTTTAAAATAGTAATTACAAGAGTGTGGGTGGGGGGGGAATGTATTAAATGGATCTTCAGTATTTAAGTGAATTTTGTTCTGATGATAATGTATTGTTCTTAGAATGGCAAGACCTTCTGAAACATATTCTTTTCTAATGCTAAGTGTGTGTGTTTGTTATCCACTTAGGTCTGGTCACTCACATCTGTAATCTCCTATTAGAAACTGCAGCTCTGTACTTGGAAGCAGATGATAAAAGCAACATCAAGACAGCAAATGTGCTCCTACTGTCCTTGCTTGACATTTTGCACTACATGCTGTTGTATACAACAAATATTGTCCGCCTGACATTACAGGTATGGCATCTATTTTCTAGTAAAGAAATCACCATCATAAAAATTTGAGGCTGTTTTCTATTATCCTTATTGATGAATTTGCCACTATTAAAAAAAAATTAAAACAGGTTGACAGAGGAAGAAGAGGTATGTTTTCTGTTGTGTATTACTGGTGAAGTCCATTTTTTATTATGTTTTACTCTTTGAATTGGACTACTTGAAAACCAGTTGCTATGGTTAATACTGTAAAGCTTATTTCCACAGGGACATTCAGGGGCTAGGGACAGAAATTACTCATAAACTGGTATAAGTGATTGGAAACCGGTTCATATGTGTAACACAACAGAAATTCAGTGCACATAAACTGTTTTCAAAATGGCCAAAACCAGTTTAAGAGAAATCTGAATGGAGAAAGCATCAGACTTATGATTTAGGTTAAATCGGTTTATTGAACTTCTGTCCCAGATTCCCCTCCAGATTCGAGTTAACTTAGTCCCCCCAGCATCCCAAGATGCTTTGCACATCCTCACAGTCCCCCACAAACCCCTCCCTCGCAGGGTGGCAAACTAGCCTCGGCCCAAGTTGTCTGCTTCAGCCAAGCAGGGAGGCATGCTCTAGCACCCCCACTTCTGGTCTGGGCCACTGCAGGCCTGTGGCTGAATTTCCAGAATTAAAAGTGAATGTCTGTTCACTTGGTTATCAGTTCAATCTGCATAGCTTAGACCAGGAGTTGTGAACCAGGGGTATGCATACTTCTGGGGGGTACTTTGAAAGGTCCCAGAGGGTATGCAGGGTGGGTGGGAACAGAGCACTGCCTCACAGGGAGTCCCTCACCGCTGCCTCACAGGAGCAGGGCTGGGGTGGGGCGAGAGCAGGGCAGCACAGATGCTGCACTGCTGCTGCTCTGCCACTCGCCACCTCCCCCTTCATGTGTAGCTGCTCGCCACCCCCACCTTGAGGGTACACTTACTAAAAAGGGGGCTGCCAAGGTACACTTATTTAAAAATGTTGAAAACCCCTGGCTTAGACTAGCCTATGACGATTGAATCGATTCAGCCTCAGGCTTTTTGACTGTCTGTACTTAGCCAGGAAGCCTAACCTGAATTAATGCTTAAAGTGAATAGGTTGAACTGTATTACACCCTGTGTGTACAGTGGTATTCAGAATTAGCATAGCTTTGATTCAGTTAAGCTTGCTTCACTTCTGATATGAAGGAGTTTAATGCAGTTTAACAAATCCACCTTAAATTCCTGCCTTTAGTTAATTTAGATTAGTTTTCCCAAGCGTCCTTTGGTAGGCATGTAAATAACTTTGAAAATTAAATACTTTTTTTCTCCCATCATAAGGAGCATACAACATAGATACCATATTGATTCTAGATTGGATTATAGTAGGTTTCATTTGCCAGCATTTTGACAAGTTGATTGTTAGTTCAGCAAAGGTTCAAATAAATTGCATTGTGTTGTACATTGTTTCTAAAGACACTTGAGAAGTTTATCTGAATTTGTAACCCCTAAAATATATTTGTCTATTAATTAGTAATATATATTGAATAGTATGTATTAGTTATCTTTGTAGTACAAGACCAAGCATGCAAGGATGCTGTCAATCTCTCAAATACAATTTTCTGAATCAGCAGCAGAGTTTTCAAAATAGTGTTGTGGTTCCCTAAAACCGATCATTTGACCCTGAACAGTTTGTACCTTCCTTAGGATTCAATAGGCAAGAAACACCAGCCAGTTATTTCCAATTATCAAAAAACTTCTGAAACTCACTGTTTCCCTTTTATATATAATTGTATCTATGCAGAGGCAGAGCAATTTGTTTCTTTTCCTCATTTCCTATCTTGTAATGTCTGTTTTCATCAACCTCTCCACACATTCAGATCACAATACACCAAACAATAATTTGGAACTGCTAATATAAACTCACGTCTGCTGAACTTGATGAAAAGCCCCAAATATACTTGAATGAGCTTTGGGTCAAGCCCTTCTATGTAGTACAGCACTAACTCCTTAATCAATTTGTTCTTTCATATAAGGTTAACTGGGCCTCATCACATGCTGTCAACCCACACTTGTTGATTTTTTTTTTCCTTTGGTGAACTCCATGAATAAATTGCTTTGACACTTTCTTGATTATGTTTCAAAGCATTTCCTACTGGTGTATATGGTGCATATGTGTAATAATAGCTGCTGACAGACATGAAAAAAAAACACAGCGCTTTACCAGCAGAGGAAGTGTGGTAGTTTGACCCAGCTCCCCAGCATCTGTATAGATTGAATCAGCTATTAGATAAAAGCGCCAAAAAGCCCCACTGAAGTGCCTGATTTATTCAGACGTTGGATGAGGCAGGTCAAACTAATGTGATGCCTCTTCTGGGCACGCACTGCACTCAGCATGGGTGCACATCAAGTAGCCTGTATATATGTGAGACTGTTTATATGTGCCCAGACCATTGTAGTCATCTGTGCTGGACCTTTGATAACAATATTATTTCTTTCCCTGGGTGTTTTTATCCTTTCATTTTTTATTTTCTATAATCCTGAGACTTGCTATTCCTCTCAGTCATCTAATTTCTGCAGTCAGTGTTCTCTGCTTATTGACTTTGCTAATACTTAAGCATCCTGACTTACACAGGAACAAATCTAGTGATGGTGCCCACCTCTGATTCCTTCCTAGAGTTGTCTTGCAATAACGAGTTGTTTACCCTCACTACACCCATTACTTTATTGTAGACATCATCTATCAGTCTAATCAATTTCTTTGAAGAAGGCCAGGTTGCATCATGATGATAGGTTTACAATGGTAGATAAGTAGGTTTCAAGCACTGCATAAGCAACCCAACACCCTCTATCCACCCAGGTATGAGCTTCCCCTGCAATTTATGGATTAAATTAAACAGAATTTGCTTTGGAGCTGGACACTTTAAGGTGCAGACAGAAGTGACAATTTTTTTCCAATCTGGCCACAGAAAGCAGTTCATAGCTGTGACCAAACACAAGTGCATGGCTGCAGACAGCTTCATAAATGGCCACTCAGGTGAAAATCTGACTCCTCATTGCATAAGGTACCAGATAAAGGCGTTTAAAAAATGTAGCATCTTTTGTAATTTGTGTCTGCTAAACGCCCAGCCTGTTGCTGTTTTCAAAATGGGAGGGAGGAAAGGGAGCAGAGGGAGTTCATTCTGAGGGGTTTTCAGCGCTCCCCCCCCCCACCCCGGGTGGGGCAGGTATATTGGAGCCAGGTTCCAATTCATAACCGACCCCCAGCACCAGCTGGGGAACCTCACGAATGAGCTTCCTCCACTGCCTTTTCCCCCTCCCAGTCTAAAAACAGAGAGCCCTGGCCATTGCTGTGGGAACCTGGCTACAGGCCCCCAGCCACAGCTAGATTCCCGTCCCCGCAGAACCGACCATGAACTTCTGCTTAGTCTGGGGTAATGTAACTCAGCATGCTTTGCAAAAATTGTTCTGAGTTACAGCTGGGAGCGGCATGGCTGTCTGCACACTTAATGCCACACTCCATAAGAATGACTTAAAGGACAGTCCAATATGTGAGTGTGGTGATGCACCACAGATGGCTGACCACTTCCTCACATGTGCAGTGCAGCACACCCATCCACCCAGAATGAGGACTTGGAAAGCTTCAACAATAAAGAAGTTATGTGGCTCTGCCACATTAATGATGTGCAGAGGGGGAAATGAAGTAGACAAGAGAAGATCAGTTTCTTGGGGATTCCATAAATTTTCAATGCTTGGAGAACATCCTTTTGCAAGATGTTATCAAATTCCTGTTTGAAATGTATAAAGTCATTATATCAGGCTTTGTTGTGTTCTCTGTGCTGATATCTTTCTTATAAAAAAAATGCATGGTCTATTGTAGTCAAGTCTTTTTGAAATCTGTAATGTTTCTTTGTAAGCACTGCTTCCACATACTATTTCACTCTGCTCTGCAACGTGTTGGCGGATGCTTTCCCCTATATACTCAGCAACTGGAATCCTCTGTGGTCCTTGCAATCACTATTGTCTTAGTTATTACAACTCCTTCCAATCATTGAGCATTCGTTCTCATTTGTCTTGCTAAATCTTATTAAACAGATTGAGCATCACCTTTGTTGTGTGTTTCTTACTTGCTTACAACAGCTCTGCAATTGTATTGTCATTTTCTGGCACCTTTTTCTTTTTTTAGACTTTCTATTGTGATTTTTACTACTACTGTTCTTCCTCATTTCCTTTGTGAAACTTCTGTGGGACAGATTAATCTACAGTGTTCTGTATAATGTACAATCTTAATAATATTCCATTACTTAACCTTGCTTGTTTTCCTTTGATTATACATTTCTGATAGTATTTTACCGCTAACTGAGTTCAACCAAAAAAAGTGCCAAGATCTGTCTCTCAGACAGATAAATTGAAAGACCCAGACATCAAGAAGAAATTAATGGAAGCTGGGAAGGAAAATATTATGGCCATTGTGAAGATGAAATGAGCACTATAGGAAGGAACATGGAATATCATAAAATGTGGGGTTATGAGAATGCCAAAACAATTGTTAGACTACTGATCCAAAATGAGAAAAACAAAGATGGATAGTGGTGGAATGGCTAAAATTGTTTGACAAGCATAGAAGTAAGGTATATAAAATGAGGGCTTAAGTCTACAACCTGAGTACAATAGGTTGGCCAGAGAGATAAAATAGAAAACAAAAAGAGAGACTGAGAAGAGTGTGTTAAGAGAAATACCATACACCTATCTCAAGATAAGGGAAAGGTGCGGGATGTACAAAGAGAAGAAACAGATTTCTTATTACAATAATAGATTTTGAAGTACTTCCTTTTTTACTTGCACCTCAGTAAATCACGCGACTTGCGTATCTTAAGATTATCTGATACATGCCCTCAACCAGTTAACGGAAAGTGACTTCTGTATTTAGACTAATAACAGCATCACTTCTGATTATCAGTATCTCTCATGAGCTTTGATGTTCCTTTGGGTATCCTAAGGAAGAGACAGACTTGT